AGTCATTGGCAGTAGGCAAGGTTAGTAAATAATAAATCTTGGGCAGTATAGGTACCTATCATTGGTCGGAACAAAAATCAGCTTCAATAATCCAACCGTAACCTAGGTAGGTACATCCGTAGAAAGATCGTGAAAAAACCGACCAAGAATTGTTTTTGTACGGAGTTATGAAATATTCGCGATTTTTTAAAATATTTTTTTAAGAGCTCTCATCAACGTTTTCATTTGGTGTAGGTATTTTCTCAAAAAAACAACAATTTAGAATTGGTACCGCAAGAAGTACCGCCGGGCTGACCTGAGCATACTCTGACAGGTCAAAGAGTTAGCTTCCCTACTAAGAAGCTTATACGCTTAAGGGGAAGACTTCATGAAGCGTATCTTTCTGAAGAAGAGAAACATCCAATGATATTACCTTCGTCTTACATATAGTGGAATTATCGCAACGTTATCAGCAATACGGAAGAGATTTTGAATAGTAAAAGCCACACAACCGTTTAAACCTTTATTAATAAGTGTTTAAAGTGCAAGTGTTTGAAGGAAAAGTCTGGTGATCAACCTCTTGCACCTTTACCGAAAGATCGTGTAACGTTATCGCGTCCTTTTGACATAACGGGGATAGACTTTTTTGGTCCTTTATACATTTTAACAAACAAGCCTAAGCTTCCAATGACTGACGAACTGAGCGGACAGCAATAAACTGTCCGTCTCAATAGACAAAACGAAGTAGGTACATGGTTTTTCGCTCCAAACTACAAAGAAAAATCCATATGCAACCGATCAGTCCTCTGCAGAGTTTTAGAATTCTAGTACCTGGGACTGTTGTTAGACCATACGACCACTTTTGTCAAGCATGGCTGACAGCAATTCGAATAGTCGAAAAAGGTAAAATCCTTTTTATAAATACACGCGCCTAAAATGGAATCTTCCAATGAAGTCATTAGAGTTGATTTTCAAACTGTCCAGTTCTTCCCCTTGAACATTTGGTTTGATAGACTCAGACATTCCCATCGTGGTTAGGAAACTGGTTTCGCTTTAGTCCTTATTCCTTAAAACCTATATAAGTTCCCGGAGCGGAGGCTTACACTCAGCTTACAGAATAACAGAACGCTACTCAACGAACCCTATGCGTTATTGCTAAGCATCCTCCTCATCACCTCCTTCTGCAGGAGCACTATCCTACACAGGGCGAGTACCTGCACCGTGTTTTACGACCACATTTCTACCAACGACTTCCGTTTTTTCGGCTACCAAGTGTCACATAAGCACTTTGGTCCTGGGCGAATGGCAGGTCTAGGTAGTGGTGCGTCCCTTAAAGGACGCAATACCTAAGCATTATTCCCTAACATCCAGAAATAGTTAGACCAAAGTCATGTCCCCGCGGACGCGCGGCAGTCCTGTTCTCGCACGAAGGATTTAGATGTCATCGAAAGCGTTTCCTATGACGATCATTGTCCGACCTATGGGGTCTCCCACACCATTGCTCACCGTATTCTCGCTTGTCGAGAATGTGATGATGTCCGAGCTCTTTTTGTTGGTGAGTATATCTCCCCTTACCCTGATTCCCCTTAGACGGCCATCCTGGATCTGGTTCCCGATGTTAACGTCCTTGTGTGTTTGCGTCTTAAGTGTTAATATTTGCGCCCAAGTAGAAGCCAGAGTCAAATCGTATCGTAATTAATTCTTTCTTAATTTTGACTTTTGTTAATGTGTTTCTTTTCGTCACAATGGCAGTAATAAACGTTATTCTATTATATTCTATACCGATGCCTTTAGAAGATTTTTAAGTTCCTCGCCTTTATTTTTTTGCCCCCGCCGTAGTAGTGAAGTAATTTATATTGAGTTTGTTATCAATTATTTTTATTTTTTTTTTTAATTTATAATAATTTAATTTTTAAACTATTACCGTAATTCCTGCTTAAACACGATCCTATTCTTATTCTCTTAGATTTTTGGCCACGTTATGGGGACAAGTTAGGTACTCCATATGTAAAACACTCTCAAGTTTCAGTTACTCTATCTGCCATTGTCTGCACAGCGTGCATCCCTTCTAACGTGTACCAACTCCCTAACTTGATCCATCTCAAGCAGTCTGTTTGACCAAGACAGTGATGGACCACTTCCTTCCTTCTGGTACTTCCAGAACTTAACCCAGTTGAGGGTCATTCCAACAACTTTGTCAAATGGTTGATATGACTTAAGTGTCATATCTATAGTTCCTTCAGGTGGGCTCAACAACAAAGATCTGATGAACTATCCCCTTGATTATTCAACCTTTTATCTCACAAAACCCTGACAAGGTTTTTCTTCTGCGAAATGAATGGAAAAACGAAAGGAATTAGGGGCAATCAGATTTATATTTACAACTATACAGTCAACTTACATTAATTAAGTTACCACAAAATAAATAAGTAGCTACATTAAATGCCTTAAAAATGTCAGTCATGATAATAAGTAATTGATTTACGACTAATCTATGTACAGTTTCTATACAAATAAATAAAAAATGCCACTTAAAATCACTCAACAACACCTTAGTTCTCTGATAAGTGAAGTCGACTTGCTGGTCCTAACAACAGATTCCGAATACTTTTTCCTATTTAAATATCATTATAAATTAGTAAACTTAATACAAGCCATTACAAATACTACTAGATCGTCTCAAGCTACATCGTTTAATAACTGCATAGCCTAATTACTACCATTCAAACACTTACAATTGACCTGGAAGAGTTTCCAAAACACATTTACGCAACTATTACTAGGAATGTATTAATCATCGTCTGTAACGAACCCTGTTCTCGCCTGTTGGTGTTGGTTCCTTTGAAGAATATTCAGACATTGAAATAGACAATGTAAAGATGCCGCAGAAGTTGCTTTAAGTAACAGTAGGTTGGGATCCGTAAAACATTTACCGCCCGATGCTTCGATGACACGACACAAAGCGGCATCCGCCTGTTCAGTTTGTTGCAGTTGTGTTCGGACGCTACCCATCGCGTCAAGTACTGCCAAATGCTCACGAGGTGGTAGTGGCGGACTGTGAACGCTGATCGCCTAAAACGAGGACGATAAGGTAACTCTTAACACTCAATTGACAATTACTTTTGTGTGAGACTCCGCAACCGCTCTCAGGCCGTTAACCCACTCCTGACGAGCTCGTGCATCCTGCGCCCGTAGTTTCAACATGTCACCAGAGGCACAATTCACAGTGAACGTCTTCGAGTCCTCGTCGCTCGGACAAATGACAGCACCTGCCAAATGCACTGATCCTCTTGGCACATTCCCGTCGGGCTTTTCGCCTTCGCACAGGTAGTAATGGAGCAGACCCGCGTGAGCGTCGACCATAAAATATCGGTACTGCCAGCCCTTCATAACGTTCGTGTATTTGTATAACTGCCCAGAAAAATGTCTGGGTGTCGAATGTAAGTCCATAACTAAATATTATTGAATTTGATTGGATTAATTTAGATTTAAAATTACAATAATTTAGGATGATTGTTTTCAAATTAAATTAACCTAAAAAATATTTATTGATACAAATTTGTTTGATATTTCTGACAGGACAAAGGAACTATTAGTTCGAATTGCTCACTATCTGAGATATACAAGGTGCGACAATTAAGGATGTTTGGAAAAAATTGAGTAGTAAGCAGAAAAGTCGAAAATTTGCTTTTCTTAAAAATTACTATAACTAACGACCTTTCCATTGAGTTAGAAAAGTAATGGAGGGAATCAAATGCTTGGCCAGACGTAGACCACGGGAACCAAACGTGGCCTCTTACTGTGATTAAAGTACCACACCACTTCCGTTATCATTAGCGTCTCACTTCAGTGGCGTAGAGATATAATTTTCTTTCCACTAATAGGAATAATAACAAAAAAAAACGCTCGAAAAAACGTATAGAAGGAGTAAAATATATGCTCGTGCTCGTGGTAAAGTAAACAAAATAGACAAGGATGGGAAAGTATGCAGATTTAATATAATCATTGATTACAAATCTAAATATACATCGATGTGTTCCATTAGTATAATTAAGGCCAGTTTACTATAGCCACTACAACTTGACAACTCCCATTAAATTCACTGTGTTGATCAATAGCTACAATTGATTGGTTGGTCTCAGGTTCATTACAAGTTTTGATAGTACTACCTACTGCATATTTGACGAGATATTTGATGAACATTTTCCGGTGCAACCTTTGGTCGAAATCACAGTCAATGAAGCGTTGTGAGCACAAAAGTAAATTTCGAGAGCTGTTCTTGAGATATATTTACAAATGTTAGGTAACCATTTTGCTCGAAGTACTGGTTCGTTTGGAAAACTAAGAAACATAAACTAGGTACCTACAACCTCGCCTACAACATGATAAATGACATGTCTTACCGATGAAAGGAAATGCCCTGTTTCTTCCCTTTATGAGAAATTTTGCATGATACGCAGCTAATCATTCTCAATTCACAAAATTGCGTGTGATAAAAACACTATGCGGCAGCATTATTTACTCTATGGCGGCAGTTAGTTATAAACCAGAGCACAAACCGATCCGAAATTATTAGGTACTTTAAAATGGCAAATTTAATAAAATTTGAATTTGGTGGAAAACTGACAGTGACAGGACCCGCGTTTTCATATGTCAAATAATGTCGGCCAAAATGTACCTTCACGGGAACCTATCCACGCGAGTGGCCTCTATCTGTGGCAACTTCCGTCTACAAAAATTCTTACCCCCTCTACCATTATATTCCCTCCATTAGTTTGCTAACACAATGGACCTTTAAGAGGTCCTTTTGGCTCATACCAGTACATATTTCTTGGTACATTTTGCAAAGTTGTGTTTGTTGATCTAAATCTAAAAGGTCCTGCTGAGTAAGAATCTGCCAAATTGTGTAAAATTGTATTTTAAAAGTAAAATTAATTGTCTCTTCCGAGGCTCCGTTTTCTCTCCAGATTCATAACGTTAATTGACGAAACACTCTGTATGGTTAGTGAATACCAAGTAGGGGATTTTGTTTTGGGTACGTTGGTACTGTTGGTAGAACTGTAGCGTAATTTTAACCCAACTATTGTTTACCGGTGCTTTTTTTTGTATTCGGTTAATTTTCGGCTTTTGCACCGTAATTTTGAAAGTTCTTTACCAACAGGCGTAATATACGGTAGAAGTAGATAACAGGTTTGGAAAGATCAAATCGCATATTGTTTTTCTAACCTCACTTTTTAGTCGTTTACAAGATGGATATTCGACCAAATAATACCATTTATATCAACAATTTAAACGAAAAAGTTAAAAAAGATGAACTGAAGAAGTCTCTATATGCCATATTTTCCCAATTCGGTCAAATCCTAGACATTGTTGCTTTGAAAACTCTGAAAATGAAGGGACAAGCTTTCGTTATCTTTAAGGAGATTCAAAGTGCAACAAATGCTTTACGTTCAATGCAAGGATTCCCTTTTTACGATAAGCCAATGGTAAAAATGGTCAGGTGTTTTTTAATCTATCACGTCTTATTGCAGCGAATACAGTACTCCAAATCCGATTCCGATCTAATAGCACGAATGAAAGGCACTTATACGGAACGACCGAAAAAGATTCGTCCACCTCCAGTTAAGGGCGAGGACGAGGCGCCCAAAAAGAAAAAGAAGAACAAGGACCCTAACCGAATACCTGGTGGAAGTAATGCTGAGCAGCCGCCGAATCAAATTCTATTCTTAACCAATCTACCTGACGAAACCAGCGAAATGATGCTGTCGATGCTTTTCAACCAGTAAGCTCCCACTTTAATATTACTCGATGTAATTAACTCGAAATTTTAGATTTCCCGGGTTTAAGGAGGTTCGTCTCGTTCCCAACCGGCACGATATTGCTTTTGTGGAATTCGAAAATGAGATGCAGTCGGGTTCGTCAAAGGACGCGTTGCAGGGCTTCAAAATTACACCTACGCACGCTATGAAAATAACGTTTGCTAAGAAATAAGTTCGTGTGTACGGCGTGGAGGAATACAATTTTAATTTTGTAATATTAATTAGGATGTAATATTTTTCAATTGATAGGAATTTATGTTGCACATGAATAAGAATAAACAGGACAGCCTTTTGTATATGTAATGTAAATTTTATGCTTAGAAATTAGACGTTCTGTGTAGGTTTGGTAGGTAATTAGGGGTGGCATGTAATCCTTCTGCTCGTTATTATCACAGATAAAATTAATATTTTATGTTTGCTATTATCGTCTTTGAAAAAGCTCCTTAGGATCAAGTGAAATACATGCTGCTCCTGTGTTTGGGGTTCAGAGCTGTTTCTTGGTGCACTCTGTAAGTTATAGGAACAAAGTCAGAGTTTGATATGTTTGACACTGATCATATAGCTATTGAGCATTTTTTTTATTGGAAAAGATCCTAAAGATTTAATTAAATTCAGTTTTCTCATACACTCAAATATAGACAATTACTTTCCTTGGTTTGGTCATGAGATAAACAAACTCTATGGTTTGGTTCACTGACGTATCGGCGCGGAAGGGGGGGGGGGCTATAGTCTAGTTTCGGTACCCCGCAGCACGCCCTGTCTGTCTATCATTAAACTTGATTTTGAAAGATTTCAAAATGAGAGGAATGGTTTGAAGCTTTCTTTTCCCCAGATATCTCTGTGTTTTGACTTATTATACGCGCTACAATTGCACAGTAGGTATATGCAGTTCCTATCCACACTTCCTACACAGAGGTTTACCTTAAGCCTTTGGCTAGTAGAGACTTAATTGGCCCCTTTGGCTATTTTGTTAGACTTCAGCGCTTCTGCCCTGCCCCAATTTTTTTCCGCCATCAGCTGGTTGAGGTTTCAAATGCACTTCAGTACCAATTTAGAATTCATCTGCCTGCGCCCTCAGCACTTACTACGGTGGGGGGTCGGTTGCTATGGGATTCTTCTGTTATCCAGGTTTCTCTCTAGTTAATAGAATCTATGGGCATAATTGCAAAACCTCTGTCTAAAATATTGTTGCGTAATGGTCAATAGTGACAGACAGTGTAGGTACATCCTTCGCGCCCCATATATGACACTCACTTCTTCTCTTCTGTTACAGAACCGCCTATGTGTAGTAGACACCAGGGGCGGACTGGGTACTTACGGGCCAGGTGGAATTGCATAGGTTACGGGCCATTAAAGTATACAGCAGATACTTATACATTTCCAACGGGCCATTATGACGTGCAGGCCAGGTGGCAATCGCCACCCGCCTCCCCGGGCCAGTCCGCCCCTCTTTCTCGTCCATAACTTTTGATTGAGAAGTCTGATCGAAAAAGTACGAATTGTTTTGGATTCTACGCACCAAAATTAATAAAAAAAGTGTTTTCCCGAGAAATTTTGGTGCAGTCGATTTTTGGTAAAAAAGGAAGGTTATACACTGCCTTTTTTTGAGCCCCGAAAAAAAATTGTCTCAGATCGACCCGGAAAAAAATTTTCTTATAGAATGTGGCCTGTAGAATCCATAATTTCAAACAGTTCCAAAATTGGGCTACTAGTTCAAAAGTTACAGCCCTTTGAATTTTCTTTCGAAATTGGTTTCTAGTCCATAACTTTTGATTGAGAAGTCCGATCGAAAAAGTACGAATTGTTTTAGATTCTACGCACCAAAATTAATAAGAAAAAGTGTTTTCCCGAGAAATTTTGGTGCAGTCGATTTTTGATAAAAAAGGAAGGTTATACAGTGCCTTTTTTTGAGCCCGAAAAAAAAATTGTCTCAGATCGACCCGGTAAAAAATTTTAGGGTAGCTCTGCGGTGCACCACAAAAACATTTTTTGCTTCATTTTAAAGTACTCCTTTTTCGGAAATCAATTACAATACATGTTTTTTAAATTGCAGCTGATAAGTAAAAGTAACAAAATATACAATCCAAACGAGGCGCGTCGCCTATCATTGTATTTCAGCACTTTCATGCTACGACAAAAAATGATAAATTCATTGTAAAACACTTCAATTAAAACAGAATTTTTTAATTTTTTAACAACCTAACATCAACCCGATTTAGAGAAACGTGTTAATAATTTATTAATAGTGCAAGAAACTAAATACAGCACATACTTATAAATTTCCAACGGGCCATTATGACGTACAGGCCAGGTGGCAATCGCCACCCGCTCTCCCGGGCCAGTCCGCCCCTGGTAGAGACGTTTGTACTTAGTTTTGAGGAGGATCCCCTGATCCCATATTCATCGCATTATTATAGTACGGCGCATTTTTGCAAATTTATTTGTAAAAAGTAGCTTTTAATCTCACTTTGGCTGGCTGGCTGGCAGCAAATGTGGGCACGTAGAAGAACTCTTGTAGAATGGCAACGGGTGTACGACTGTACGTGTATCTACAAGGCCGTGTAATTTGTCAACCTTATAAGGACAGGGCTACATGATGTGGCGACATCTGGGCGTCATCCTCGAGCGTAGTTAACTAACGTGAAGGTTTTTCAGGTTTTTTTTATTTTCTTCGAGAGGTAGTCAACTTCGGGCGCCTTTTACTTTCCGTTGCAAATTTGTCACGCGGTTTAACGTTTCGTAAATCTCGAATCGCTGTCTCTCTTTCTCGTGTCGCCAATAGAAGCTCGAGCAATGAGAAGTGTCCGAAAAATTAAGTACTATCTTGTGGAAGGTTTTTAGCGAAATCCACCAAAATGTGTGAATGTGGTAGCTTCCGACAAGATCTAAGTGATGGTGGAGTGAAAACTTCAAACGCGAATTTGGAGTGAACGGGACGTCGGTAAGTGGGTACCGTCAAAGGGAATGTGGTAGCCTTCGACAAGATCTTTTATTGATGGTGGAGTCAACACTGGTTATCAAAACCCTAATCTGCCACACAAAAATGCGCTGAAGTCCCTTCTATCTCACACGAGGACTTTGATAATTTTTTTAATCTGCGAGGAGTATGAGTAAATCTATAAGTTTTCAGTTTCGGAAGACCTGTGCTTCTACTCATTGCGTGGTGTTCGCAAATCTCGGTTTTCGGTTTGTATTGTTACCTAAGGCTATGAGAGTTCGGGCGCAATTTTGGTCAAAATCCCATGTTATTTCCCATAAGAAATTCTAAGGTCCATTTCGGTCATTTTTGTATCACTTCTGTCATGTGCGCATGCGCGTCCCGGGCTCGCCGGCAGGGATGTCGTTGGTCGCAGGGGGCCGGAGTGTGGTATTTCGGAGAGGCGTTGGTCCGGGCAGCCGGGGTGTGGGAGTTGTGTGGGAACTTTTACCGCCTCAGCTTAATCGACTTATTTCGACAGCCGTGGTGTTGGTATAGGCTCTCGGGGTGAGGGACTGTTTTTCCGTCCCAATTAGTTTCGCTCCTTTTTTTTCGGCAGCCCGGGTCAAGGTTATTTTGGGAGGCTTCAGTTCGGATCGAGGTTCGAACCTACTTCCCTCCGCACTTACTGCTGTATCAGAGGTCGGATAACCAACTGCGCTACCAGAACTATGTACTACAACTTATCGACTGATATAGATGAGCCGTGTCTTTCCGTTTGCCTCGAGGTATTTCGACTCATATTGTTGACAGTTATGCTTCTCATGAGCGTTGCGGTAAATTTGTAGACGCGGCGATTCGAACCATCGATCTTTGCAATTAGAACCATCCATCTGAACCACTCGGCTACCGCGCCTTAACCATATCTACGTTAAAACAATCATAGGTAATTACGTGTGCTATTTATAGAATAAAAGGAAGCATTGTAGAAAAAATCAGTCGGCGGCCGCACCGTTTCCCGATTCTCTAATTATTAAAACGAGAATTAGTCGACGTGTTGTTTAGATTTCCTATAATTATATGACATTGCATCATCCAGCTGTAATTCTAGGTAACTTGCACTATCCAAGTCGTACGTGTATGGATGTTCTTCATATTCATTTTGCCATTATGGATAAAAATAAATGTTTATGGAATAGACTTCCTGGGATGGAATGTGTAAAAATGATCGGTCAGCTATTATACAATCGTCCTCTCCCTTACTACTTCATTGTTGAAAGCATTGTAAATTTAATTACGAAGAATAATTTCAAATTCCAATACATAAATAGAACAAATGCAATTCTCGTATCATAGTACGCATTCAAAAATTATACTGGGGCGTATTAGAATTCTTTTTGGGGAGCTTCATGGTAATACAAGCGGTATTTGGCAGCTACGGGAATGAAAAAAAAGACTGAAGAAAAAACTGCGCTACATTGGTAATCTTTCCCGCGATTTTACGTATAGTAACACTTTTGGCAAATTCTTTTTACCACCGCGCACATCAAAAGTTCGTCGGGGAACATTCCAATATAGGAAATGCACCGGGATTTTTTCATGTGTCCATTTTTGTGAAACTACCTTCTGCATTCGCGCGCACGCAAGGTGCTTTTTTACTGTGAGTTCGAAATTTCGGGCGGCTATGAGGTATCCAAATACGAGTAAGTGCACATCCTTTTTGCGGCGAAGCAATTTCTTACATCCCCCAATCTCATAATGAAGCCGCCATGCCTACTTGAACGATTCAGTATTGCATTATTATGTTCACACACTAAAAAGTGTAATTGGTCCATAAAATACGCGTTGCACTCATTGCAAATGCTTACCCCACCCCAACGAGCACCCTGTCGTGTTGGACTGGAGAATGGAGATGAAAGTAAATTAATTTCAAGTTCAAAATATAAACCTATAAACAAATGCAATTCTCGTTAGCGGTACCTAATAAGTATCTCTGCTCTTGGATAGTACTCATTCAGCACAAACTATCTGAGCCCTCACTCAACGGTATTATAATTCGTTAGCTCTGTAGATAATTATTATGCAAATCGTCCTTTTTTTGTCAATAAATGGTATGGAAAGCGGTACTTTTTTTCACGATTTTTACCATGCTTTTCCATGGTGTTTAGTCCTGTCTATGAACAATAGCTCAAATGAAGAGTGACAGTAAATCGCGATTGTCAATTATATTATTCAATTATGGGTAATTAAGGATCACGTGTTGAAAGTGTCTTTTTTCATTAATATGCTTGATTAACTCGAGCTTCACCCTCATTAATCAAACTGTAAATTCATGAAAAAACGTATCACTTTCAAAACTAGCTGCACAAATATATCTATTACGCTACATTTCCCGTGTATTACGTATAGCAAGTCTCATTCAAAATGCTTGCCCCAACACTGTAATTCAAAGCGCCTGTCGGTTTCTTGTTGGACTGGAGATGAAAGTAAATATAAACAAATAAGTACAATAATGTGTTTCAACTTTTAAAATTGCGGAAGCACGCCGCACGCGTGTAAAAAATAGTGATGAATCGACTTTGTTCTTTTCTGAAACGAGAGCCAAGGCGAGCGCAGTTTTTCGCAGTAAAATGCACACTCTCATTAGAAATTGCATTTTCAGCGCCTTATAAAAGGGTGATTATTCAGATTTCTTTCCCATTTCTATTCTAGTATTGCTTGCAACTAGACGTTGCGTTTGTGTGTTTATTAGTTACCTACCTATCTTTTGGTGTATTATTAGCAGTAGTAGTTATTGTTTTAAATTTATTATTATTTGATGTGCACGTAACTTCAGCGCTTTATAAAAGGTGAATTATTCAGATTTTTTTCTCATTCCTGCTCTAGTATTCGTTGTGTTTAGACGTGTTGTGTGTTTATTAGTCGTGCTGGTGAGTTTTATTTTTATTATTAGTAGTTTTTTTTTAGTTTATTATTAAAATTGGTTAGACGTGCACGTAACTTCAGGGCGCTATAAAAGGTGCATTATTCAGATTTTGTTACCATTCCTATTCGAGCATTCATTGTGTTTCGACGTTTGTGTTTATTAATCGTGTTGGTGAGTTTTATTATTATTATTAGCAGTAGGTTTTTTAGTTTATTGTTAAAATTCATTAGACGTGCAAGATGTTTGCAGATTTAGTGAAACACATTGCAGGTATTTTAGGTGTGCTAAGAACTAATTACAGCGATAAATCAGTTAGGGAAGGGATAAGAGAGTGTGATAAAGCGACACGTAGGATTCGGAATTCTTTGCGTGGAGCTTTGCCTATAGGTGAAAAGCAACATCTTGAGGCTTGTTTACGAAATATTAAATCGATGCGTAAGCATTTTAAATTAGAACAAAAGAGGGGTCAGGGTATAGCATTGAACAAAGAAACCGCAAAGCATCGCGTTCATTGGGATGACTCCATTTCAGCATTTAGTAATAGAATACGGACTGGTGTTATTACTAATCTCAAACATAAAGACCCCAGCCGCTTCTTAGTGGACTGTAAGGTAATCTTCAAACGACAGGTTTTGAACGCGTTGAAAAAAGACGAGGCTGTGAAAGTAAATGCGATTTTTTGCGGGGAATTTGTGATTACTCAAGGGGAAAAGACTCTCAATGAGTATAAGTACTTCACAACATCAAATGCGGCAATATATAGGGGTACTGACATAGAAGAGTGGTTTGAGGAAAAGGTTAGTAAACCCCTAATGAAGAAGTTATCGGAGTTTCAAGAATGTAACAGTGGTTGGGCACTTCAAGCCGTCGTTAATTTAGGGGTTAATTTAAACAAATTTACACCTCAACTTGGGTCTTCATATATTGAGTTACCTGTCCAGATCAAGAGAAAAGAAGCTTGTATCAACGTCAAGAACGAGGATCAGGCGTGCTTTGCGTGGGCGGTGGTATCAGCATTGTATCCTCCTGATAAAGATCCTCAAAGAATATCCAAATACCCTCACTACTCGTCTGTGCTTAAGCTAAAAGGGATCCAGTTTCCTATGACAATGAGACAAATTTCGAATTTTGAAAAACAGAACAATATCTCCATTAATGTGTACATTTTGAAGAAAGAGAAAAAAGATCAGTTCAGTACCCTGCCTACATACCTAACTAAGGAAAAGATGGATAAACATGTGAACCTGCTTTTAGTGCAAGACTGCTATGAACAACCCACTAAATTTCATTATGTTTGGATCAAAAATCTTTCACGACTAGTATCAAAAAAGTTAGGCAAAAGGAATGGGCAAAAATATGTTTGTGATAGATGTTTACACTATTTCCATTCTGAAGACAAATTAATTAAGCATACTGGAGACTGCATGCAGAGGAATGATACCGCAATCAAGATGCCTACGGAAGAAAAAAAGATGTTGAAGTTTAAAAATTTTAAAAATAAAATAAAAGCCCCCTTCGTGGTATATGCAGATCTCGAGAGTGTCCTGAAACCTAGCGCGAAAAAGACCGCATACCAGCAACATATTCCGGCAGCTGTGGGATACTACTTCAAGTGCTCATATGACGAATCTCTTTCATTCTACAATAGTTACCGTGGTGAAGATTGTATGCGGTGGTTTGCTGACGAGATGAGTCAACTCGCGGAAGATGTCTCTACAGTGTTTCTTTGCCCTTATAAGATGCAAATGACTCCACAACAAGAAATCGAATTCCAAACAGCAACTCACTGCCACATTTGCGAACAGCCATTTACAGCAGGACAGAAGAAGGTTCGAGATCACAATCACCTCATCCCAGAGAACAACTTCCGCGGAGCTGCATGTGAAATTTGTAACGTCAACTATCAGGACACTCATACAATTCCGGTAGTATTCCACAACTTGAGTGGATATGACGCTCACTTTGTTATAACGGATATTGCCACTAGAATGGGTGGTAAAATCGACTTGCTTCCTATAACCAAAGAGAAATATATCTCTTTTACCAAACATATCAACGAGTCACGCATCAACTTTAGATTTATAGATAGCTACCGGTTTATGGCATCATCCTTAGATAAATTATCATCAGCTCTAACAGAATTTCCCAATCTCAAGTCACAATTTTTTGCACTACCTGAAGATCAATTTAATCTTTTAACTAAAAAGGGTATTATGCCGTATGATTATTTAGACTCATTTACCCGTTTCGATGAGCCTTGCCTACCTCCTCAAGATGCGTTTTACAATAAATTGGAAGATAAGCCTTGTCCCCGTAGGATGTATCGTAGAGCTCAAGAGGTGTGGAGCAAATTTAACTGCAACAATTTAGGTCAATACGTCGAGTTATATATGAAGACCGATATTCTCCTCCTTGCGGATGTGTTTGAGCGATTTAGATCAAGCTGTATTAGTACTTATGATTTAGATCCAGCCCACTACTTTACACTGCCAGGCTTTACTTGGGATGCCATGTTGAAACACACGCGGCAAGAGTTAGAACTCCTTACCGACCAAGATATGTTTCTCTTTATTGAGCGAGGTATTCGTGGGGGTTTGAGTCAAGTTTGCTCTAAGAGAAGAGTTCACGCAAATAATAAATATATGCCCAAGTATGATTCAGCGAAACCTGATGTATATTTAATGTATAATGATATTAATAACCAATATGGATGGAGTATGAGTCAATATCTTCCTTATGGGGGGTTTCATTGGGTAGATGCTAACATCGATGTTACTATGATCCCGGATGATGCAAATGAAGGCTACATTTTAGAAGTTGATTTGGAGTATCCGAAGCAGTTGCATGACTTACATCAAGATTTACCATTTTGTGCATTACATATCAACCCGAAAACCATGAAACCACCATCTAAAGCTAAAGAAACTTCAAAACTCATGGCAACCCTAAATAATAAAGAAAAATACGTCATCCACTATCGCGCCTTGAAACAAGCATTAGCTCACGGTTTAGTTCTCACTAAAGTACATCGAGTACTAAAATTTAAACAGTCCCCTTGGCTAAAGTCCTACATCGATCTGAATACGAACCTAAGAAGAAATGCCAAGAATGAATTTGAGAAGAACTTGTTTAAGTTGATGAACAACGCAGTCTTTGGGAAGACCATGGAAAATGTTAGAAAACGACTTGACGTTAAATTATTATCCAAATGGGAGGGTCGTTATGGTGCAGAATCATATATCTCAAAACCAGAATTTAAATCTTGCGTTATATTTAATGAGAACTTGGTGGCGGTAGAAATGAATAAGCTTGAAGTATATTTAAATAAACCTATATACGTAGGTCAAGCCATTCTTGATTTAGCTAAGACGACCATATACAGCTTTCACTACGACTACATGATGGATAGATTTGGAGGTAATTGTACTGCCGTTTATACTGATACCGATAGTTTAATTTATGAAATTCGAGAGCAAGACCCGTATACGGTTATTAAAAGCGATTGCTTCAAATATTACGATACCAGCGATTATAACCCTAATAACCCATATGGCATACCTCTTGTAAATAAGAAAGCCTTGGGTATGATGAAGGATGAAAATAATGGGAAAGTAATGACTGATTATGTAGGATTGCGATCTAAACTCTACACGACCAAAGTATTAACCACCAAGGATGATTTAATAAAATTACGTCAGAAATTAGAAGCGGAAGAGTATGAGGAGGATGAAATTGCTACGATTATTAAAAATTGCGGTTTGATAAAAAAGGCAAAGGGGGTAAAGAAAAGTGTAGTAGAGACTAAAATTTCTTTTGATGATTATGTGGAATGTCTGGAGACCTTTAAGCGCAAAACAGCATCTCAAAATTTGATTCGAACAGATAAACATCAAGTGTATTCTATAACACAGTCGAAAATTGCTGTAAGTCCCGAAGACGACAAGAGGTATCTAATTCCCGACTCATTTAACACTCTTCCGTGGGGGCATTATGCCATTGATAAACCTCAAGATGTTGCCGATGAACTGATGGATGTTGATTAATCTGCAGATTTGTTATCCCTCCTAATATATTTTTGAATTAGTTGTTTCTATATCGATCTATTAATTTACCAACTCACACTTTTTTTACTTAACCAGGTCTACAATAGATTAATTCTTAACAAAAAACCTGTTAGATGCAGATCTCTTAACTAGAGTAGAGTTCTAATACGACCCGGGGACCTATCACCGGTTGGCGTATCAAGAATAAATGAGCCCCAACAGGCATGTGGGGCATTGTGGATGTTGCGGAAAGTTATCTGGAATCACCAATCGGATTAATCAAGGAGATAGTTGTACTCTCTGCAATTACAGATCAGCAACCACTTCTGCCTCTGATCAAATGCGATAACATTACGTCTAATTTAAATGTAAACAATGTATACATTTTTGAGTTATGTTAATAAATGATACCTATATAAACATCAAGGAGTTTTCATTTCTCTAGGGAATAATTTGCGATTTCATTCTAGCGAATGTTTTTCTGATCTTCTAGCGGTAGCTTGTATGTGCGTAAAATAAGGTTCCCAATTGTTTTCACAATGAAAAAATATGTCTTGGCATTTTTAAAAATTGTACACTATTTCCTTTTTTTTCATCATAATCAACGTTCCGATCAATCCATCTTTTTGAATCTACCCCGCATGTTATTCTTCGATGTTTCGTCAGGTACGTGCGGACTAGCGTTGCGCTGCCTTCTTGTTTTGTATTGCGGTGTGAAGGTTCTCCAACGTCTCACAGCGCTCCGGTATGCAGGAATTCACACAACCCCGGTCCTAAAAAGCAAACTCAGACCGACGGCTTTGGTGATGTTGTTTCCACTGGCGGATTTTTGTTTCTGGAGTCGTGTAGGGAACTTAGCTCTCGTCCACCGGCGCAATCTTTTTTGCACAAAAAAAAACGAATCGAGTCGGGCATGCGGATGGAAATCTGCAACTGTTGTGGAAAGTTATATGGATTAATCAAAGAGATAGTTGAACTCTCTGCAATTACACATCAGAAACCACTTCTGCCTCTGATCAAGAATATTATACGTTTAATTTAAATATAAATAATATACCTTCTTGAGTTGTGTTAATAAATGATATATAAACATCAAGGAGTTTTTCATTTCCCTAAGGAATAATTTGCGATTTCACTCTCGCGAATGTTCTTCTTCTACCGGGAGCTGGTACCTACGTAAAATAAGGTTCCCAATTATTTTCACAATGAAAAATTATGTTTATTGGTATTTTTGGAAACTTTACACTATTTCATCATAATCACCGATCCGAGCGATCCATCTTTTTGTATCTACCGTCGCATGTTCCTCTTCGGTGTTTGGTCAAGTCGAGGAAGAGACACTAGAACTGTAAGAAGGGTGTGTGTATGTTGTACGTGTGGACTAGCGCTGCGCTGCCTTCATGTTTTGTATTGCGGTCTGAAGATTCTTCAACGTCTCATAGCGCTCCGGTAGACAGGAATTCGTACAACCCCTTTAGCGATGATGTTTCCACAGACGGATTTTTGTTTCATTTTCCGGAGTGAACCCAGCTCTCGTTCACCGGCGCAATATTTTTGCACACACAAAAAACGAATCACGTAATGTTGGGAGAGTCCATCTCTAACGGCAAGAGTGAGTGTCGCTGGGTGGAGAATTGGTAGGAGGAAGAATCAAGCTATATGCCAGTGCGGAATTCGGTTACTGTTTGTGTCTGCATCTTATGTATTTTTTTACTTTTTAAATTGTAATCATTTGACATTCAAAAATTATGGTAGGCCTATTAGTTGTTTTTTATATACTCTATATATAAGAAATTTCTAATGGGGAACCCTATAACGAGGCCAATAAACACCTCCAATAAAATTACATTATTTTAATGTGAATTTATTGCCTCCTGGGTGGCCGTGGAAAGAGGTGTATCTATAAGACGAACATTCTCAACCGCTGCCTATGCCTTTACCATGACAACTGGAACTTCTTACAGAATAACAACGGAATTTTTTCAGAATTCTCGAGGTTTTTCGTATAAAATCTGCTTACCCTTCATCAGTCGTGCATACCGAATTTGCATGAAGGTTTTTCGTATAAATTCGGCCTTCCCTTCATTGGTGAGCGAATTGTACCGGTGTATATCCTGTTTATCATTTTCTGTATATCAGCCAGTTTGCTCGGTGTTGATAGTTTACATTCTCGTGACCTATACAGCGATGATTGGCTTCTAATATCCATCTATTTTTCTTCAGTTGATACCACATGTTCTAGTAATCGAACAAGCCTCAACTGGACTCATTGTATGGTCCTCTACAAATTGGGGATCCAGGTTTTCCGATGGCAATGTAGCAGATTTTAAACACTAAGACGAGCTCTCCATTAATCTTTAGCTTTAGCCTTTTATCTAATTTAGTGCTAGGTCCCTAATAATAATAATAATTTATTAAGAAATTAATACAATTATAATATTTATATCTCAAAAGCGGACCTTAAGCTTCTCGTACCTAACGGCAGGGATGGATAACAAATGGTTCCCGAGTCCCATTTTTGACGTTATAAAAGTTAATAAATTGAAAAGGTATAATGATTGTTTATACAATAATGACTTATAGACAAAATTTAATACTCGATCAATTTCCCGACGTACTTAAAGAATCTTATATTTATTAACGTGATGTCCCCTTGGTACATAGAATGAAAATCTGAAACTATGCATTCTGAAGACCGTCAATTCTGTTTTTAATTCTTGCAGTCAGGTAGGGAAAGTATACAAGTAGACTGTAGTCCAATTGACTTTGAATCAAAGAATTTGTCAGAATATTTTAATGGTCCGTTCAACATAACGCTTTCAGTTTCCCGTAGGCAGTTCGTAATTTCGAAGTTTAAATTTTTTTTAATGTATAAGCGACGATTCTTGGTACTGTTGTCTAGGTGTATTAGACGACCATCTAAAGTAATTTCTCTACGCTTATTCGCAATGAATATACCTACCTCTCGAATATTTGATACTCCAACACATATGGCCACCGTTTTCTTAGGGTTCAAATTAAGTCCATTCGACCTACTCCAAATAAATATATTTTCCAAGTTTTTATTCAGAATACTGATATCCGGGAATATGTATATAGCTCAACTGGAAGTTGAGTATTAACCAAGTCACTTCCATCGATTCGAATGCTACATATTTTCCACATAAACTGCAGGGTGTTTTGCGTTCGAAAGATAAATTAAATAAAGGATTGCTTAATCCCGCAATCAAGCTGCTTTTGATTATCGATTTAGCGGGAAGACAAATAAACCATAGTAAACGAGTCAACAGATAAGCAGATTAAAAACGGTGTTCGGAAACAGCCTTCAAATGAACAGCTTTTTTAAATCTGTTCATCTGTTTATCTGTTCATCTGTTTATCTGTTCATCTGTTTATCTGTTCATCTGTTCATCTGTTTATCTGTTCATCTGTTTATCTGTTCATCTGTTTATCTGTTCATCTGTTTATCTGTTCATCTGTTTATCTGTTCATCTGTTTATCTGTTCATCTGTTTATCTGTTCATCTGTTTATCTGTTCATCTGTTCATCTGTTTATCTGTTCATCTGTTTATCTGTTCATCTGTTCATCTGTTTATCTGTTATCTGTTTATCTGTAGTAGGTACCTATTTACCAGTTTATACATTGGACCTTTCCTCGAAATCGACAATCAATACATATCATTAGAGGAATGAGTCTAGTCTAAAGAAGGTGGTTCATGTGAGCGTCACCGAAACCTTGAACATTTGGTCCGATTTTTTTGGGCGATTCTCTATGCTAAAATTCCCCATGAAGATCACAATACCACTGTGATAAGAAAAAATCCCTTTGGGCTCGACCGATCAGGTGTGGGTAGATTTTGTTCCAATATGGCGGAATTGGCTGATTCACGAACTTGATCGAGAGTTACACCAACCCTTAAAGTGTGGTTGAAATCGGTTCATAAATATGAAAGTTAGAATGTTTCTTGGAAGTCATAAACCTATATACTGGTACCATTATAATAGGTAGATAGATATAAATCTACCAAAAGGGCTCTTGATCTACTGATCGAGAGTTACACCAACCCTTAAAGTGTGGTTGAAATCGGTTCATAAATATGAAAGTTAGAATGTTTCTTGGAAGTCATAAACCTATAAATATACGGGTACCATTATAATAGGTAGATAGATATAAATCTACCAAAAGGGCTCTAGATCTACTGTTCCGATCTGGGCAGAATATAAAAGATGGGGTCTGTAGGTCAAAGGCAAAATCTATCCATCGAACAACCGACTTCAATGGAAGAGCGTTGGACTATAAAGCCGGAGGTCAGGTGTTCGAACCTGGGCAGAGGTAAGAATTTTTCATCTGTGAGAGAGATTGGAATTTCATCAGTTTCGAGCATTCTGAAATAGGTTTTCCTGCAGTTTTCCTAGTTCGTACGGTAAATACCGGAGTAGTATAACAACTTAAGACCTTCTGCAGAGACTAAAAAGCATTATGCACTCTATAATTGAGCGCAAGCCTGTTGAGGGCCCAGAACAAGAGAGAAGAAGTTATTGTAGTTTCTCGTAGTCTACAGGCGTTGTGAGTCATCCACTTCTTATAAAATGCATTTGCACATCCATTCGCGTTCGATTTCGTATCCCAGGACGTCAATTAAACCTCTTCAGCAAGAACGCTGTAAAGATTACCCTTATCCAGCACCGTTCAACTTTAGGAAAGATCTTCCTGGAGGACGTCCCCGAAATCGCAACAGAGCTTGGAGCTTGAACAACGTTTGATAGACATATGGCTTGCGTAGAACAAAGGATGTTTCTTTTTTGTTGCCAGTGTCATTTTGCTCCGGTTGTTGCTTAGAGCGTCCGAGGGTTGACATTCGATAATTGAATTTCCGGATATCATAAATAGGTTCTCATAAATTATGCATGTGATGACAACGATTTAATATTTATTTTGTGTAGTGTAGACATGACATCAAACTTCATTATCTTATGTCTAATAATTAAGCTCGAAGACC